TTCATTGAATGTACAACTGTAGTGAGCAGCTTTTTCATTATTCGTCAGGTAAAACCTAAACCAGGAAAGAACACATCTCTAAAGAAGTTTCACTCTCAATATTATGTGAATGGCAGTGAGTGTGATTTGACAGGCAAAGCAAGAGAAACACAAATCAAGGTATTTTGCATCATGACTGTTTTAACTCCAATATCAACATACATATTCTCCAGACTGATCTCCATACATTTCCTAGAGAATTAGTGACGAGAATTATATTAAAGAGCTTGAAAAGGTTTTCCCTTTTGTGATCATGTCATTAAATCTTTTAAACTTTTCTCTTGACTCTGTATTATTATTGTTAGAAGAAAATTGATTTTGGTCATAAAGGTTTAAATTTTTAAAACCAAATGATGATGGCCAAGAATGTCTTAATAAGTGACAGATAAGTCAGTAAGTTCAGTGTTGCTACTTTTCCAAAGTCTTTGCATTTGAAACGATGTTAGAGATACTTCAAAAATCGTTTTTGTAGTAAAAAACATACACTAGGTAGCTTTTACATACCATCTCTTATTTGGTCAGCTGTACATTTGTTTTCTCAACTCTAAATTCACCATCAGTTCTTTATGTTGTTGTTTATTTAAGATTTTCTGTGAAGAAGGCAGTGCAGACCTTGTTTTAAGAGTAGATGAGCCGTCATCATGTTTCTATGTGATCACAGTTTACACTGGCAAGCTGTGCAAACACAGCCTGTTCAGGTCATCAAATGCACAGGAACCCCAGCCTATCACCTGCTCACCTGCCCTATCAGAAGATCGCTATAAGATTTACATCGAAAAAGTTGGTGAGTGAAACTGTTTACAGGTTACTTTTTCTGTGAGTGGTGTTAATATGAATGTGTAAAATCAGATCTTTATGATGACAGATACAGAGAAAAGTAATTCACATCTCTATATGGGAGATTCTGATATTATGCTTAAACCTACATTGTACATGTACTCAAAAGAGTGTCCAAAGTCAAACTAATTATTCCACATTTGATAGTTAAACAAGGGCTTGTGATATGATCAGGCCTCCTGGTACGTGTGATGAGAATCAGAAATTATGCAGCATTTTCAGGGTAACTTGTATGAAGAGAAAGGCCTGTTGCATGATAAATTACCGTATTTTCTCGAATAATCGCCTCCCTCAATAATTGCTCCCCTTTGATGGAACTATTTGAAATAATCACCTCCCTTGAATAATCCCCCCCCGCCCCCGTCACCATCTGCTCTTTTAACACCTCCCAGTCCCTGTTAAGATGAAGGGGAATCTGATCCAGCAAAACTTATCAGTGATGATTCAAGCTCCGAGAATTTATTTAAGGAACCAAATTTGGAACACTTTAAAAGGCAATGTTCAATTTATTTTATGTGATAATGTTTTGATTTAAGGGATAATAAAACAAAATATTTAACGCACGACTTCCAGTGAGCAATATTTGAAATAATCGCCCCCCTCGAATAATCGCCCTGGCTATTATTTGAGGAAATACGATACACACAAATTATGCAATTTTTTCTCACACAATGGACCTTTCTTTTCCCACAATCTGCCCTGAAAATACCCCATAATTTCTGATTTTTTTATTGCACCCTTTCAGAAGCTCTGTTAATCCTTTAAGCCCTAGAAGTGATCCGCTTCAAATTTCTCATTGTAATATCACTGCTTTATAAAACAGAGTGCTGATGAGAATTGAAGACATGATCACACAAGAAGAATCTAATTATTGATACTTCAACAAAATTAATTATCCCCACTACTTCTATTGAAAACGTATAGGGATAACGAATGAGAATTTGAATTTTGATATTAGTGTTTAAAGGGTTAAACATTCTATAGGCAAAATATTAAAAACATCTTTGAAAATTGCAGAATCCAAGAAAAAGGCTAAAGAAGAGGCCGAGGCGGCCAGACTTCAAGCTCAGAAAGCGAGAGCTGCTGCTGCAGATCTTGATGCCGAAGATGACATAGAACAAGACGGAGATTCCACTGTGAAAAGGAAGAAGCGATCCAAACGTAGCCTGATTTGGCCATGGGAGGATCCAGGGGTTGAAAGCGAAGATGAAGTGTGGATTGATGGTAGGATTGAGGACAGTAAGCTTGATGTGCATCGATATGACCTCACCAAAGGCCAGAAAACCAACGAGAAAGGTGAACGCTCGGAAGAAGGGCTTAGCATCATGAGCCAGNAATATCACTGCTTTATAAAACAGAGTGCTGATGAGAATTGAAGACATGATCACACAAGAAGAATCTAATTATTGATACTTCAACAAAATTAATTATCCCCACTACTTCTATTGAAAACGTATAGGGATAACGAATGAGAATTTGAATTTTGATATTAGTGTTTAAAGGGTTAAACATTCTATAGGCAAAATATTAAAAACATCTTTGAAAATTGCAGAATCCAAGAAAAAGGCTAAAGAAGAGGCCGAGGCGGCCAGACTTCAAGCTCAGAAAGCGAGAGCTGCTGCTGCAGATCTTGATGCCGAAGATGACATAGAACAAGACGGAGATTCCACTGTGAAAAGGAAGAAGCGATCCAAACGTAGCCTGATTTGGCCATGGGAGGATCCAGGGGTTGAAAGCGAAGATGAAGTGTGGATTGATGGTAGGATTGAGGACAGTAAGCTTGATGTGCATCGATATGACCTCACCAAAGGCCAGAAAACCAACGAGAAAGGTGAACGCTCGGAAGAAGGGCTTAGCATCATGAGCCAGAAAATACAAAGAAAGAGAGAAGAAAGGTAGTGTTTATGTAGCCTGTAGTGCAGGCATTTTCTTTGGGTGCAAAAATGTTAGTACTTGCAACCACTAAGTTGAACCACAGTAAAGCTTCGGTAAAAACGTGCAACTTGTTTTGCAAAATTGCTGCTGAACAAGTTGTAAGTAACAAAGCTGTTGGCAACCTGATTTGTCGCAAGACAGGTTTGATATGGGTGGTAAAACACGCAACATCGCTATTCAACTCGTTTTGCAGCGTTGTTGTGTAACAAGTTGCATTAATTTTCCGTACCTTAAGATTATGAATTCCGAAAAACGGAGACGAGCTGAGGCAAGTCAAAAGGAGTGAGTGAGGTGGGAGGGTAGGGAGGGAGAGAAGAAGAAACACCATTTTTTCTCCCCTCCACCTCCCCCACCTCCTTCTTTCACCCTAGCGCCCACCCTAATGGGTTGTAATATTTTACTTTCCCGAATCTTCGTCTGCCTTAATGTATAGATTTACCCAGGGCTAAAAGCGAAGCTCCGGTTAATACTTATAAACAAAAAAATTTAAATCGTCTAATGTTAAACGGGGACGGCAATGAAAATGGCATCAAGATCAACAGATCTAATTAGCAAAAAACCAAATTGCACGTGCGGCACACTATTTTTTTCTAATTAGCAAAAAAACAATTTTGCACGTGCAGCACGCACTTTTGTCTTACTTTGTCGTTGTTTTGCATGACAACAACGCTGTTTTGTACGACTAAAACATCAAACTTCCTAGTTACACGTTATTTTTATGGAGGAATTGTCGTATGTGCTTACCCAATATTTTTTTCCTGTGTCCATGTTCTCTTTTATTTTTCACTGGCCCTCATTTACACCTTGCTGGCCGCTCCGTTCTGGCCGCTAGCAATTCTCATTTTCTCACCCTCTCTTTGAATTTTCATGTTTTTCTTCCTACGAAATTCGTCTCCCTCGCTCTAGCTGTTTCTCTGTTATCCATGTGAGTGTCAACACCAATAATAACGTCGAAAAAGACACGACTTTGTTGTTGTTTTTTTCTTTCTAAAAGTCCGGGTGGCTAGGCGATTTCCTTCCAAGTAAAACTCCATGAGCGAGCAAGTTGAGGCGAATCCTGCGTTCTGATTGGCTACCAGTGAGCGGCGAGCAAAATGGACCCATCATTTCCCGCCTTTTTCCCGCGAGAAAAAATTCTCTCTTTTCGTCTCGCTCACCAAATTAACAAGCTTGGTCAATAACGCAAATGTAAATCTCAGTTCCATTTGGTATACTTGCAGCGTACATTTATCATCTCTCTCGTTTCGTCCTTAAGAGGGAATAACGTTTGAGGTTTCTGCTTTTGGAGGGTTGTTACTTTCGGGTTGTTGCTCGTCTTTGTTTTCGGGTCTCTCTTCAGTCTTTCCATCGCTCCAAGACCCAAGGAACCAAATTGAGTGTCATTACTTTCGGGACTTGGTTATGACTTAGGTAACAAAAAGTTAAACAGCCCATTTTTCGGAAAGCTTTTTAGTATCATGGGGTTAGAAGGAAGGAAGTGCACACGGGCATTGGAAGAAGATTTCCATGGGAATTTTTGAGTTAACCCTTCATGGTCTTTGATGCTTTACTTCGTCCTCCTCGACTGAATTGTGCTCATTCTGGTATGGTTTGAAAGATCTCTTCACCTTGCACAAGTTAGATGATAAAATTGTCCTTGACCTTTGAAACTGACCATGTCACAAGCGGCTCAATGGACGTGGTCTGCATTGGCCGTTACAGGTGGTTCTCTAGCGGTAAATGGGTTAACAAAAGCCTTTCTAGCGCTTTAATCACAATGTATAGATTTTTACGGTTGCATCTTGTTCCTTTATTTTCATAGGAGAAAAGAAAACGTGGAGGAGAAACAGAAAGGAGATGATGGTGATGATATAAAAGAAAACGAAGTGGAGATAAAACAGCACGGAGAGAAGAAAGCCCAGACTGAAGATGATGAAGCCAAACAAAAGGATTCAGTTACTATAAAACAAGACAACGGCAAAGACAACAAGGAAAAAGATTCGGTAAAAAGGCTGCCTCTTAATACATTAGGGACAAGATTTCCAGTGAGAGGATGGGGGGGGGAGATTCTTATTTACGATACGCTGATGTTTAAACCCCCCCCCCCCTCGTGGGGCTTACTGCCCTTTCAACTGAGCCATGCCATGGACGCCCAGTTGGAGCAGATAAATTTGTTAATTTCATCTGAACCCGTGATAGGAGTGGAACATAGTATGAAATGATAATGTGGGCTGCAGAAATACAATCATATCATTTAAATTTGNCCCCCCCCCTCGTGGGGCTTACTGCCCTTTCAACTGAGCCATGCCATGGACGCCCAGTTGGAGCAGATAAATTTGTTAATTTCATCTGAACCCGTGATAGGAGTGGAACATAGTATGAAATGATAATGTGGGCTGCAGAAATACAATCATATCATTTAAATTTGTACTTCCACAGTACACGTTGTCATCTTCATTTTAAATATCAATACATATTCAGCTGGCTATTTTACAAGCGTGGTAGAGGAGTTTAACGCGGGACTACCGAGAACAAATCGGGCTAGTGGTTAGGGCGGAACTTAATCTCGGGGCTTCCGGTTTAAAGTCCGGCACTCTAACCACTGGGCCATGCTGCCTCCAAATTAACCACCATTTTGGTGATGTCATCTTGACTTAGTACCTGAACCAGTGTCGGTCGAATCTTTATTTACTCGACTGGGCATTCCATAGACTTTCCAAAAAGTCCTTCTTCGGATTTCATATGGCGCGGGACCTCTCGCGACTTCGTCGCTCGCGGTCGGCCGCTTTGCGGCCGAAAAAGGCTCGCTCCGCTAGCCAAGAGGTCGACTTGTAGCAAGTCTAGGCATTCCAATAAACCATTGCTTTGTTTTTATTGTCCAGGAAAAAGACAGTGCATCAGAGGATCGTGGAGAAGACAAGGCTACCGCCCCAGCTGATGTGGACAAGAAGATCGAAAAAGAGGAACCTAAAAAGGAAGTTGATCCCTTGCACGAGAAATGGAAGGCAAAGATGGAAGACACATTGCGAGAACTCAGGTCCACCCTAAAAGGAAAGCTTGTCCAACTAGGAATCGATCCTGAAGGTGATTCGACAGTTAACCTATTCTGAACGTCCTACGGATTTGACTACAGTGGAACCTCGATATAACGAACCTCTATATAACGAAGTCCTCGGTACAACGAACGATTTTCTTTACCCCAGAAATAGTAAAATATATGAAAAAGAACTTCTCTATAATGACACCTCGCTATAGCGAACACGTTTTGCCAGTCCCTTAGCCTTTCGTTATATCGAGGTTCCACTGGATATGGATTTAGACAAAGGAAAGTTCAACCCCCATTATGGGCGGCTTGTTGGAAATTTGAGTATGAAACGTATGGGCCTAAAAATATTCATAATAATAACAGTAATAATGATAATTCGATTAATTTCGATCTTCTTGTCCTCTAGATTTTATAGAGTATCAGAGTTTGATGTTATTCTAAATAGGCTTTTAGTAGAGATAACCACATTATGATGGCCTCGTTTAGGTATATAAGAGATAATGAGAGCATAAAAACTGAATAATCTTTTAAATAAGCTTCTAGTAGGGATAATTATATCATCATGTCTTTGCGTAGGTTTTACAGAGTATAAAAATTTACTAATATTCTAAATTGGCTTTTTCAGTAGACAGATTCATATTATTATGCATATTAGGATTGTATTAGGTTTCGTACCGACCTTTTTTTACTCCTAAGTATAGCTTCCCAAGTGGTGTAGGTTACGTTATGCGCCCTATTCTACTCATAATGTGGACAACATTCCAAAGTTTTATACTGCGAGATGATAATAATAATAATAATAATAATAATAATAATAATAATAATAATAATAATAATAATAATAATAATAATAATAATAATAATAATAATAATAATAATAATACACTTTATATTTAAAGAGCGTTGCACTGAATAGTTATAAAAACTAATAAACTTGAGGCACTCTATCTAAAATTAAAACGAAAATAAGATAGCATGCATACAAAGTGTAAGTAATTCAGTAGGAGCTGTGATACTTGTGGTCCTCTGAAATCAGGCTTTTTAATTTTTTTCACCTATCTCTTGTAATTTGTATTTTTACCAGTATTAGACCAGAAATTCAAAGAAAAACTTGGAACAGCTGGGAGCGACAAAATCTTAAACGATAAATCTTCAACCGCCACACGAGTTGAATCGTCAACTGGCACACCTAAGGCGGACGGAGAAGCTGATGACGAGGAAACAGAAGAACCCGAGGAAGAAGAAAAGCCAACACAAGAAACGGAGAAACAGAAAAAGACTGCAACAAAAGAACCGTTTTTGAAATCCTTGACAGACATAGCTAAGGTATCGTAGCTTTTTGTAGTTCTTCTCTAGTGTAATTGTCATATTTACTGCTGACTGAGGGGATGCGTGAATGGTCGGACTGTGTTCTAACTTTTGAGTCTGTAGACGAAATCCTTTAATGTTTCCATTCTAAAACCTCTTTTGCAGTACTTAGTTTCGCAATGGGAAAATTGTTTGTTGGTATTTTATAAGAAACGATCTAGGCGAAGAATTTTGATTCAGTTGGGTTACCATAAATTCCCTAAATCACAATGACTGTAGAGATTTTTGACAGCTAACAGATGAAAGAACGATCCAAGTAGTTCCGTGTTCTGCTCAAAAAATGACATGCGTCTTAAACTGTCTGGTAGACGGTTTTATAGTACAGTGTAAGTCAACTTTATTTATCTTTCTTGCATTATATCAACATTTGGGATCAAAAGATGCAAAATTCTGTTTTGAGCAAACATTTCATTCGATCTCATCTGCTGTTACGAAATACAGTAAGTCAGTGTAAGAGATCATCAAAACACGCGTGACATCACGCTACCTCGAACACTACGAATGGTCCGCCTGTGATTATTCATTATTGACTCCAGGAAGGAAATCCAGAATCCAGAGTCCTTGAGATTTTTGCTGTGGAATCTGGAATCCTGGGCTTTGGAAACCGGAATACAGCTCAAGGAATCCAAGAATCGAAAATCCAGACTCCACTGACAAAGAATCCGGGACAGGCCTTTTGCCAGTTAGTTGATCACGTGATAAATTTTCTGTAAACACGAAAACAGTTCGCTTTTAAAAAATTTTGTTAGCATGATCTGAAAGAACATATGAAAATTAGGTAACGTGCAAATTTTCAGCCGTATATATCAAAAGTATCTGTCGCCGAAATTATAAATAAAAAAAAAAGTAAACAGATAAGTTAATCAGTAAATAAAATAACTATATTTGTCTAGCAGCAACCATAGTTACATTGCTTTCTTATTCCGACACCTTCTCCGTTACAATATAAGAACATGTTTTATTTATCAGGCTGAACTGGTTCTTATATATATATATGGTGCTTTATGGGTCAAATTTCAGCCTGATGTTCTAAATCCATTTTTTCTTATATGCGGGAGTTTACTGTACTGCAAAAGGCCTATCCACAGCGTAGAATCCAAAATCCAATACTGTCTTCGCTAGGACTCTATTTTAATACATGAAATTATCTGTACTACTAGTTCTTAAATAATGACATGATGAAAGAACTATTGGATGCTGCCGCCGAGACACAAGCTGAAATGGAGAGACAGTTTAACAAAGAAAGAGCTCTAATGAAGAGCAATGTGGAAGAAATGAGGGCGAAAATCAGGGAGATTGAAGATGCAGAGGCGATGAGTGAAGTAAAGAATGAACAGCTTAGTCAAACGATGAGCAAGATTAAAGCGTCCATGGATCGCTTTGAAAAAACTAACGAGTAAGTTACTTGTACTGCGAGCTCTGACTTTTCTTATGGAAAAAAATGACCATTAGCAGGGTTCAATCCAAAATTTATCGTTTGGGGGAGTAGTCCCGAGTCGCCGAAAGGTCACGAACTTCTTAGGGTGGTCNGTCCCGTTCTTCGTAGGGTGGTCCGGGGGATCCCCACCCCCCACGTAAGTTTTTTTGAAGTTTAAGTGGGCTGAGATGCAATTTTGTGCTTTGTGATATACAATATTGATTGATTATTTTAACAATATGGTTAATTTTATATAAAAATGAAAACAAATATTGTTTTTTGTGGGAGGGGGGGGGGGAGGAGCTTCTACCCCTTAAATACCCTAGATAGAACCCTATTCAGGTAACATACAACCAAGCTTTGACTTCGTCCCTTTCCCCTTGGCGTTATCTTGTACTAGCTTCACGAGTTATTGTGGTTCAAGTGGTTTTATTTTCAGCTGCACCCTACCTAAACATATCCCGCTCAACAGAGTATTTACCATTTTCACATAGACCATAATGCACCTTGTTCACCCCCCCAAATTTTGCGTAACCATTGTCTTCGATTTCTCTTCGGACGACTTTAATACCCTGGAGAAATTGGAAACAATGGTTATGCAACATTTGAGGAGGTGAACAAGGTGCAAGGTGCAAGTCTGTTTGAAAATGGTGAATTCTTTTTGCCTCTATAACTCTGAAACAGGGTGTAAAAATAAAACTTTATTTCCAGAGGAGGGGCTTATGTTTTAGTTCAGTTTGACTCAGGGATAGGATGGAGTTTTTCCCCATATTTCCTGATTATTCGTGGTCAAACTCTGTTGCGAAACTACGCTCTTATCGTCGTCCAGTGCGTTCTTCTTACGTAAGCTATAATGTGTACAATTTTTTGCTGCCTGAAAAAGGTTTCCTATTTTTAAAATTATTGTCAGAAACAGGGTCGCAAATTCATCTCTTTTTGTCTGGAACAGGTACAGTCTCAAAAGCTTAGCGGCACATGCGCATACATCAGGGAGTACCCCCAGGCACTACCCCGCTACTAATAATAACTACAATACTCGTCACACTTGTGTGCGTTTCCCCTTCCTCAATGTTGATTTGGGTATTACAGTCGTTTCGGTGCTCCAAAATACGCGTTACTCTGAACATTGGGGAAGGAGAGGGGCACATTTGAATGAAAACAAAGGTATGAAGAGTGAATGTAAGAAATTTGGAGAAAATTCAAGAGAAACGGCTTCTGTTTCAACGATTTTTGACGAGTATTGTAGCCCCTCCCAGGTATCACTTCATGATAGCAAGCACGGGGAACATACTTATAGCACAAAGTCAAGTTACCCCTTAGGAGGGGCTTATATTTTAGTTCAGTTTGCGAAAACTACACTCTTATCGTTGTCCAGTGAGTTCTTCTTCCCTAAGTCATAATGTGCACATTTGTTTGCTTATTGTCTGAAAAAGGTTTCCTATTTTTACAACTATTGCCTGGAACAGTGTCGCAAATTCGTCTCTTTTTATCTGGAACAGGTGCAGAGTCTCAAAAACTTAGCGGCACATGCGCATACATCAGGGAGTACCCCCAGGCACTCCCCCCTACTAATAATAACTAGCCCCTCCCGGGTATCACTTCATGATAGCAGGCACGAGGGACACACTTGTAGTACAAAGCCAAGTTACTCCTGATGTCTGGAAAATAGGAAAATTCATTTGCAATTGTACATTTCTGTACTTACAGTGAGTTGGACCAAGATATGCAAGAGATCAAGGAGCTTAATTCCGAGATCTTCAGCGTAGCTAAAAACAAGAATAGCGGCGACACCAAGCGCGCCGACCTGGTAAAACTGTCAGTCAAGACTAACAGACTGCTTAAAAAGATCCTGTTACGACGCTTTCAGCTGGAGCAAGAAGCGAAGTACATCAAAACAATGAGCAACAAGGTTGCTAATCGCGAAGATGGCGACGATGTCGGTGCTACTATAGATCCTCGGGGGAATGGAATCGATAAAGTTATAAGCAAGTTGAAGACAATGATTCATGACCTTGATTCAACTGAAGATAAACCGGGCGGGGTAAATGTTTTCTTTTTTTGGTTCATTTTCGTGTGTGTGTGTGTGTGTGTGTGTGTGTGTGTTATTTTATTAGTAGTCGCATTCCCTACCCCAGAGCTCTTCCTGTTGCTCAACAGGGACTTTAAGATATAACGACGCGACGGTAACGAGAACGTCGCTTAAAAAGTGAATTTGCGTTCCTTCAATCTTAACTGCGATTATGCCTCCCTTTTTACTTTGTCAAATGTAGGCGAACCCTCCTGAAGCTGAATTTCAAGGGACCAAATTCAAGCTCAGAAAGAGAAATAAAATTTCGTCGTTGCTTGTTTACTTCCTCCATAAAACGCCAAATTAGGCATTTTCACGGCGTAGTCGTGCAAAAACAGGAAAGAAATGTACAAAAAAGCGTGATGCACGTGCGAAGTTGTTGTTTTACTTATTAAACCAATTGTTTTTTTTGACGTTCTCGTTGCCGTCCGCGTCGTTGGATCTTAAAAGGGAGCTTAAGCAACGACGACGCGGACGGCGACGAGAACGGCAAAAAAGCAATAGGTTTGATTAGCAAAACAACAACTTTGCACGTGCATCACGCTTTTTTTGTACATTTCTTTGTCGTCATTGCCCGACTACAACGTGAAAGTGCCTGAATTCACGTTTTGTCGAGGACGGGAACACAAGACAACAACTTCCTTTTCTTTTCCTGAACTTTGATACAGTCCTTTAGAATTCAACTCCAAAAACATTTGCCAACATTTGACGAAGTAAACGAGATGGAATAAGCGTGATAAAGTTTGAAGCAGCGCGAATTCATTTTTTAGATGACGTTTTTGTAGCCGTCGCCGTCGTTGTTGCTTAAGCTCCCTTTTAAGTCCCTATTACCAAGGACTAGAATGGCCCAGGCGAACCCTGGAATATGCGCAGTCGAGACCCCAGTCTCTGGTGACGATATTAGAGAGCTAATGCAAAGGCTTTAATGAGCGATGCACGTCATCCAGAAGTGAGGGCTTTTTCTCTTTTCATATGCCTTGACGCTGCCAAATTTGTATTGCTAAGTGTCTTTACTCTTACCTTACTTGTATAGAAGAAGTATTTCAGTTTTGCTGCTGCTTGTTCGCGGAAGAATTTTAAAAACGTTACGACAATAGACCAGGAGAAACTCCAACTCGAACAAAGTTACGTTTGGAACCCATGACTACCAGAATAATTATGTCACCACTGATTTACCTCATCAGTATGAAATTTCTAGAGACTTAATGATCGGACGACGCGATGGCAGCGAAAACGTCGCTTAAAAAGTGAATTTACGTTCTTCCAGTCTTTATCGCGATTATTCCTGTCCATTTACTTCATCAAAAGTAGGCGAACCCCCTTAGAGTTGAATTCCTAGGATCCCTATCCAAGTTCAGAAAGAGAAATATAATTTCATCGTCGCTTGTTTACGTCCTCCATAAAATGCTAAATTAGGCAATTTCACGTCGTATTCGTACAAAAACGGCAAAGAAATGTTGCCGTTCTCGTTGCCATGGCGTCGTCGGAAGTCCCTTCTGTTGTTGAGACGCAGACTTCTCTCCCACGAAACTTCACGAGCGGCTTAGCCTGTTCCAGGTGTTCAGGGACGGCGAGATGAGGGATATGGGGTGGGAGCGAAGTTCCTCATCTCTCCCTCTACTTCTCTTCCTCCATATTTCTTTCCCGCTCTCTAACTTCGCTCCGCCCTCCACTATCGGAACGCCTGGTACAGCGGGGCTACTAGCGGCGAGGAGCGAGGAGAGGCGGCTGTATTCGCTGCCTACCATCTGACTAGACCAGGGCCGGGTTCCTGAAAGGCCGATTAGCGCTAATCTAGGATTACCATTTTG